TGTTCTCACTGTCAGGAAATTCCTCCTTATTTCCAGGTTGAATCTCTCCTTGTTCAGTTTCCATCCATTGTTCCTTGACTGGCCTTTGGGTGCTTTGGAGAATAGCTGGACCCCCTTCCTCCTCTCTGGGGCAGCCCCTCAAATATTGGAAGCCTGCTATCCTGTCTCCCCTGGTCCTTCTCTTCCCTAGACTAGCCATGCCCAGTTCCTGCAACCGTTCATCGTAGGTTTTAGCCTCCAGGCCTTTGATCATCTTAGATAGATTCAGATGAACAGAGCTGGAAGGGACCCTGTAGGTCATCTAGTCCAACCCCCCCTCTTGCCAAGCAGGAGACCCTACCTACACCGTTTCTGACAGATGGCAGCCCAGTTTCTTCTTGAAAGCCTCCAGTGATGAAGCTCCTATGACTTCCAAAGGCAACATTGGTTGATTTTTTTCTCACTCTCAGAAAGTTCCTCCTTATTTCTAGGTTGAATCTCTCCTTGTTATGTTTCCATCCATTCTTCCTTGTCCGGTCTTCGGGTGCTTTGGTGGATAGCTTGACCCCCCTCCTCCTCTCTGGATCAGCCCCTCAAATATTGGGAACAACGCTATCCTATCTCCCCCTGGTCCTTCTCTTCACTAGACTAGCCAGGCCCAGTTCCCGCAAGCATCAAACGGCTTAAAAATGGCTTGTTAAAGCTGGTTTCCTCCAGATAAGTTTCCCCAGCCTTACCGCTCGTGTTCTTCTTTTAATTTGGCGTATTGCTCGGCCAAATCCTGGTGCCGTCGCTCGGCTAGCTCGAGCCGTTCCTTCTGGGCCTGCAATGCCACCTCTTGTAGGTCCAGGCTGGTCTTCTGTCCCAACAGCTGGTTGTGCCTGTAGGCAGAAAGTTGAGCTTCAGCAAATCATCCATCTTCTTTTAACGACCCCATAATAATCCCTTGCTGGGCGGAGTCTGGGCAACTGAATTTGAGCTGAGTGTTTACTGGCCGGTTGCCGTCCCTGTCACCAGTACAGAGTTTTGTTCAGCAGATATATTCTTATTGTGCCCAGTATTGTGCCCTCATTGTTAATTTTAATTGATTTTTTTTTAATGTTATTGTTAATCCTAATTGGGTTTGTTTGGGATATTATATTTAATTTTTTTTTAACTTTTGTAATATGTTTTTTTTTAAAGTTGTACCCCGCCCTGAGTCCTTTGGAGAAGGGCGGCATATAAATCCAATAAACCAAACCAAAGCAAACCAGTGAGAAATATCTGCCGCTACCTAGGATCGAACTCACAGCCTCCGGATAGTGAGGTGAGAGCTCCACCCTGTTTGACGGACTTCCTTGCTCAATTGTGGTCATAAGTTGAGGACTGCCTGTCATGGCTTAATTAAACTGCCGCCCATGCGCAATGGACGAGGGCATCGCTGGCGTGGCCAAGCTGTGATTTCCCACAATCCCCCGGCGGCGGCGGCGGCACCTGCCCTCCAGTTCGCGCTGTTCCTTCTCCAGGCCGCGCAGCGCTGCCTTCAGTCCC